TAATACCGGATATATTTCTATTCTCGGTAATATATATGTTTATCCTTTAATGTTCATAGTTTAGACTTCAACGTTAATTGCAAGCATAAACTAAGTTTAACATACTTCTATGTTGTACACCATAGTCATAAACAATCAAAATGTAAAGGATAAATCACAATTTATTGGTTTAGAACTTTTATCAAACACCTAGTGGGCATAGAAGTTCATCCCTAGCCTTAGCTAAGAACTTAGCTCCTTGAGCTCATATTAATTACAAAAGTGTAACTAAGAACAATGGAATACAATAACATACAAGAAATAATACCTAGAACCAATTGTAGAGGAGAGAAATGGTTTCTTCTCCAACACTTCAAGAGAATGCAAAAATAAAATATAAAAACTGAAATTTAAGCTTCAAGGATGGATTGATGATCTTGTTTGATGAATTGGGGGCTTTATATAGGCTAAAAATTGGCATCTTTTAGTCTATTCGAGCCCAACAATCAAGCATGGAAGATATATTTGATCAGATCATAAGGAAAGTGGGTTTTTCCCATCAAGATATGGCTGCACGTCTCTTTGTATTCTGCAGATTTGGACTTAACCGGCGCCGGTTTTAGGCTTGACCGGCGCCAGTTTTACTTCGGGATGGAATAATGCTGAAAAACACCATAACCGGCGCCGGTTATAGGGTAAAACCGGCGCCGGTTATACTTCGGCCAACCGGGAAAATGGCAGATTAAATGCAACCGGCGCCGATTTGGTGAAATTCTGGCGCCGGTTTTGTCCTGGGATTTTGGGGATGTTCTGCTACGAATTTGGACATGAGTCCTTCATCAAAGTTGTAGCTAATGAACTCTTCTATCCACCAAAACTTGAATGGGGTGATGTTATTCATCCAATCAAAAGATATGGATAAAACACTTAGAGGTATGCATCCTGAAATCCCACCAGCAACATCTGACTTTGTTGGTTGATTGAGTCTTGTTCCCTTCATATTTTGGCCATGACATCTTCATAACATTTGTACCTTATTGAGTTAGAATTCACATGAAACTCGAATCGAGTGATTTCGAGTTCTCTACAATAATTTATACTCAAATTATGGACAGAACGTCATTCTCTTGGTCAAAAAAGCCATGCATCGCAATGTTTTATGCTCTAGCTCTCATTCTGGAGGTATTTTCCCGATTTCTCTTCTTTTCTTCAACAAATACTCATAAATACTTATGTTAAACACAAGTAAATATAACGGCTATCACGCCCAACATGGGAACTTATTTCCAATAGGACGACACCCCACCCTTGAGCTTTGATTACATTATGATGGAAAGAGAGTGAGATTTTATCCCAAATCATTGCTTGAAGTTGAACTAGAGACCCCTCTCTTGTGGCACCCACTTCCTACTGGGTGAGCTACGCCACTTGGTTGGGGCACTCCTTTCCATGATTGTAACGAGGGTCGTCTCATTAAAAACTCCTCTAAGAAAAAAATCCAATGTGAAAAAATTATAGTAGAGGAAAGAGAGTATTTTCAGCCTTGAGACAACTTCTGGAAAAGAAGGTGATGTCCCACTACATAAGGATGAGTGACTGAGCTAGATGCCCTTTATTGGTCCGCGTGTTTTCTAGAATTCCTTGTGACTTTTCATGTTCTTGCATGTTAGTTCCTACTTCAATTCCACATCGGTAACGGATAATCGATTGAACTTTTAAAACAACCCTGGAATTTAATTTAAAGTAATATTGAGCCTTAATAAAAGAGGTTGAGGTTATTGGAATTTGTACTTCGAGTTGCACTTAGATTCTTTGGGCCCGTTTGGTATGGTGTACAGTAAACACTTTGTGTGCAAAGTGTGGAGAAGTAAACATTTTACACCGTTTGTTTTAATTGTTTGATATAAACTGTAGTCTGTAGGACACTTTTTTAAAAACATTTTACACTGTATCATGTAAAATATTTTACGTGGGAGGATGGTAGTAAACTACTTTAAATATGGATGATAAAATATACTCCGTATTATGCTCTCCACGATTGGTGGCACCGATCGAACTGCAATTTCCGTCTTCGATGGACCAATCAAACTGCAATTTCCAAGAGTTTGCTTCTAGCTATTCTTTTCAAGAGATGACTCGATGATGACATGATGTTATAGTGCTTGAGTATTTCAATAATGATCTGATTTATTATTTTAATATGTATACTTAATACTCCTATTGTATTGATATTATATTATAGTATTATATATATAAATTAGTGGTGGGTGAGTTATTTCTCAAGCCCGGTTTCAGTAAAATCATGCTATTAATATGTTTGGATGGATCATCCATGAATGGAATGACAATGATACATGTTCGATATAGTAGATGATGCTTCGTTTTATGTGTGAATTTATTTTAAATTTGAGTCAATCAATGCATTTATTTTTAAAATAGATCGCATAGCTCTCCAAACAATGTATTTTTGTTTTGCATGCAAAATGATTGTATCCCTACAGTTTACATGCAAATCACTTTATATGTAGGGCCTGTTTGGTAGTTTACTCATTAAAACTTTACATGTAAAATGATTGCATGTAAAGTTTAGGACAGTAAAATAGTTTACATGTAAAATAGAATGCATCGTTTGGCTATGTGTTATCTATTTTTAAATTACACGCAAACTAAATTAAACATGTGTGACAAAAAAGGATTAATCCATCTCTCGTTGTCAAAACAGATCGAGCAAATAAACCAAGCACACATCGTAACAGGCTTTATATACTACAGTACATACATACTGGTATAATATACATATAATATGTGTGTGTGTATATACAAAAAATACAAGCTTTTCTAAAAAAAATAAGCAAAAATAATTGCTTAGTATATCAAATTAACGTGGATGGAGTCATGGAGAGCAGATTTAAAGTGTAGATTGTAGAAGCTATTGTTTTCTTGTATACTACTAAGGGTTGGTTTGCAACTGCTTTTAAAAAAGCACTTCTCAGCTTTTGGCTTTAAAAAGCACTTATTTTCCCAAACACTACAACTTTTATTTTTCTCGGCTTCCGCGTCAAAAGTGCTTTTACTTTTTCTATTACACAAAAAGCACTTATTTTACCAAACACTACCCACTTTTACTTTTCAAAATCATTTTTTTCTCAAACATTATCAACTTTTATTTAATCGCTTCTCCTCATTTCATTAAAAAAGCACTTTTTTAAAAGTAGAAGCTGTTGCAAACAAACCCTAAGTACGTAGGACTGGTAGGGGGAGAAAACCTGCGGCAATATTTTTGCTTGGCGGCTACGATGGAGTCTTCAGAGCCGCTAGGTTGGAATCGTGTATATTTATTCCCCCTCAAATTAACGGGTGTAAAGTAGTTTACTACCTCCCCCCACGTAAAATATTTTTACATGGTACAGTATAAAATGTTGTTAAAAAGTGTCTTATAGTTTACATCAAATAGTTAAAACAAACGGTGTAAAATGTTTACTTCCTCACATTTGACACGCAAAGTGTTTACTCTACATCGTAACAAATGAGCCCGTAAAGTATCAATATGCAAAGAACTAAACGCCCCGTTTGTGTGCTTGAGTCCCCCACTTATCAATCCATTTATTTTATTTTCATTTGAACCATTGGGGAACATTTTAAGAGGGGTGGGTACATTACATTTAAATGTTAAAATGGTGGGAAGAGATAATAAAAAAATTAAGGGGTGGAAAGTTTACAAATATATATATATATATATATATATATATATATATAGAGAGAGAGAGAGAGAGAGAGAGAGAGAGAAAACTTCATGTCAGGCCGGCCTGACGGGCTGCCCCGTCCGGCCGAGCCCGTTTGGGCACCTTCCCGGTGGAATTTTTTGATGAAATTTTTTGAGCATGTTCCTCGTCAAGTCTAGTTTGTCCGTACCAAATTTCAGCTCAAAATTCAATCGGGAAGGTTGTCAAATGATTTTTGCAAGTTAACTGGTCCGGAATATGTATTTTCCGGACCAGTTAACTTGCAAAAATCATTTGACGACCTTCCCGATCGAATTTTGAGCTGAAATTTGGTATGGACAAACTAGACTTGACGAGGAACATGCTCAAAAAATTTCATCAAAAAATTCCACCGGGAAGGTGCCCAAACGGGCTCGGCCGGACGGGGCAGCCCGTCAGGCCGGCCTGACATGAAGAGCACTCTATATATATATATATATATATATATATATATATATATATATATATATATATATATATATATATATATATATATATATATATATATGAGTGCTCTTCTCATCAGGCCGGCCTGACGGGCTGCCCCGTCCGGCCGATCCCGTTTGGGCACCTTCCCGGTGGAATTTTTTGATGAAATTTTTTGAGCATGTTCCTCATCAAGTCTAGTTTGTCCATACCAAATTTCAACTCAAAATTCGATCGGGAAGGCATTCAAATCATTTTTTGAAGTTGACTGCGTCAAAATATACATATAAAACTGCAGTCAACTTCAAAAAATGATTTGAATGTCTTCCCGATCGAATTTTGAGCTGAAATTTGATATGGACAAACTAGACTTGATGAGGAACATGCTCAAAAAAATTCATCAAAAAATTCCACCAGGAAGGTGCCCAAACGGGCTCAGCCGGACGGAGCAGCCCGTCAGGCCGGCCTGACATGAACATTCCTCTATATAATCAAGGGCCAGAAAGTCAGAAACATGCCCAAGAGCCATATTATTATTTTTCACTCATGGCACTTTCATTGTTCTTATTAATAAGTCTATAAGTGAGTTGTTGAAAAATGAAAACAATACATATTTTCTTGTATCATCTATTTGGGCCAAAGTTTGTGATATGCAAACTGCATTCCATTCAACATTATACGGAGTATGTTAGATTGTTAGTAAAGAGGTTTCATGATTCTTTTATTTGATATGATCACGTCGTCCATATTGTATTTCGGAAGTTCGGATTCCCGAAATACAATATGGACGACGTGATCATGTCAAATAAAAGAATCATGAAACATGTAAGAAAGTTGAAAGCAAAATGCAAAATTGCTTTATAAAATTGGTGTAACCGTGTTACAATGTCCATATTTATCTAGCTTCTTTGACAGAAACTAGCAATTTGTGTATGAAGCTGAAATCATCATTTGCACCACAAAAATCCCCCTTCCCTTCGTATTACTATGTAAAACTATATACAATATAAAAAATGAAAGAAAAAATAAATGGAATCTCAATAGAAGTAGTTACGGCCCAGCTTGTTGGTAGCAAACCCATCTCTGCAAAGCATTGATCTAACCTCAAGAATGGACCTTGGCGGCTCCAAGTCCTTCTCTTGCACTGAATTCCCTAAATGCTGCTGCATCTCTGATGCAAATGTATCATCCAGAACCTGTCAAAAATAAGCAGTGTGAGGGCAGCAGAATAGACATTTAGAGTTTCCAAAGGGGAAAAGATGATGTCTTTGATTTGTCACTCACGGAGATGGCGATGCGAGAGTTCTTATACCACGTCTGGTTCTCCTTTCGGCTCTCCAGGAAACCAAGAACTTCCTACACAGCGAAAAACACATACTGAAACTATTTAGTGATAGTTGTTTGACTGAATCTCCAGATTTTTTCTACAAGGAAAAACATTTGGTAGCGGCCATTCCAGCCAAATAAGTCAAAACTTATTCTTCTAATTATTCAGCTGATAACATCATAACAAGTTGAAAAAACCAGAACTAGGTACCAAAAAGGGGAGCACAAGTAAAAAAAAATACACCCATATTGTCACCACGAGTTATAAATAAAGTTGGGGGATCAGTTGAAAACCTGTCCCATCCTATCCCAATATCCGCGGCAAAGTGTTACAAAAACTGTGGGCGCCAATATGCTGTACAGATGGTTTATGGTATTCATCAGCTGCTCCTTCAGTGGTTGCATTTTGCTTCTCACTTCTGACTCAGTAAGAGCATCTTTCGAGTCGTGCAAGATCTTCTTCAGTTTTGTGCTGCTCTGCGCCTTCATCTAATGAAGGAAAACAATTATGATCAGTTTTTGCAGAATAAAACACTTCACTATTGGTCCCGACCTTTATTTTTTCCAGTTTGAATACATTGCTTGGATTATTTCGTCACTTTCCCAATCACTTATCTGGCTAATTTACAAATTCCACTTGAATTGCTGATGGCTGCTGGATAAGTGATCAAAAGAATTGAAACTGGCAAGGGGTCTACATTCGGAGACCAGAAGTAAAAAATAAAAGTCGAAGGCCAAAAGTGAAAATATGATAATGGTGAAGAGACAAAGTGGAATATTTTTTTGGCAAAACAACCCACTTCAATATGATAATGCAAAGAGGTACTTACGTTTTCAGCAAGTTTTTCAACAACTGCTTGTAAACAGTTCTTGAATTTTGATCTGAGCATAACTGTAACTTCACTTAGGCGTTCTCCAGGGGCACCCTCAGGAATATATGCCCCCCAAGACTTGAACTGCTGCTCTATTTTGGGGCGAAGTCTGTCAAGCATGTGTTTCATTGAATTCAATAGAATCCCAAGCTGCAAATAATAAAAACAAAAAGACGTTTATGTAGGCAAACTTATTTATTAAAAAAAACATCACATTCATAACAAAAGCTTGAGAGAAAGAGAGCAATGTTTACATTATCTGGAACCTCATAATGACACACTGATCTTTTAGCAAGTTTTTGAACAATATTATTGAGTCCAAACTTCTTGGGTCCCATATTGTCCTTAAGAGGAAGCAACACATCTGCATACTGCTTCTCAAGAGCCTCCACAATTGCCTTCTCAACATCAGCAACAGCCTTTTTTATAATATTTATATAAGAAAAAGGAGAATATTCAGTCATAATGCATATTATAAAGATATAGTTTAATTTTAGGAATAAGATCAAGGATGAAGGTTTGTGAGGACATACACTCTCCAAGAGAGATGTATACTCTGGCCAACGAGAAATGATGACTTCATAATCACTCAAGGTCTCTTTGAGTCTCTCATACATTTCATCAACAAATGGTGTTGTTGAATGCTGCGTGCGAACTCCTGACCATTTTACCTGTTGCAAGTAAAGAAAGACATTTAATTTAAGTGTGTTTTTACACACCCACACCCACGCACATTCAATAGTGTACAGATGTACCTATAAAAAGAGTACTTCAGTAATTAGATAATTTGAGAAACTGGATAAAAGAATGTGTTGTTGGAAAAATTGGAAGTTCAAAGGCAGAAATTCATTTACTTGCTTCTAATGCAAATAAAGGGTCCACTAGGTAGGATATTTGCCTAATATGGTTGAAAATCTAATAAATTATTACAAAGGAAAGCTGTCTCGTAAATCCATTTAAGCCAAATAAATATGTCAAAAGTTACTTATTCTGCGAATACGCCACTTATGACAACCAGACTGACCTAAAGTTGGAGTTTACTTGATCTTCAAGTGCTTGTTTCGTAACAAAAAACATATGATAGGCCAAACACTAAAGAGATAAATAGAAAGGGCTTCTTGTATTTTGCTTTTAAGGATAAGAAGCAAAAAAACTTTTCTCAACAATCTTAAAAAACTAGGAGTTTCAACAAAAGAGGTGGGGGGGGGGGGGGGGGGGGGGGCATTTTCAAGAAGCTCCAACTATTAAGCCATAAGAACTTTAATGGCCGGTGTTACCCAATCTTTAATTTTCAGCAAGGTAGTATTGAATAATATACCTTGTCTAGCTTGCATGATTCAAGCAAAGCAAGCCGTCTATCCTGAATCCAGAGCATAATATACAAATGGAACAACTCCTTTGCATCAACTCCTCCTTTGACAGGCCTAAAAGAATTTTTTACACATGCAGTATGAATTACCAGCAAATAAAATAATTGTCACCAGTAATCTCATGAGAGTGAGGGGGGAATACTTGACATTCCAGCTGGCGAGGTCCCTCTGAAAATCTGATGTTGCAATTACAAGTTCTGTTACGTGAGGTGAAGGGCCAGTTGGAGGGCATGCAATGAGGAATGAACGCAACCTACTGCATAGCTCAGCACTATATATGGCAGAAGAAAGGTTTGGAAGATCTATAAAACTGCAAATACAAAAAGCAGACATATCTTGAAGGGGTCAAAGCTTCATTCTTCTCAAGAAAAAACAAAAACAAAATGGAAGCCAAATGTACATGTTGAAGATGGCAACTCTAGATTAATCCTTTATAACTTCACAGTCCGACCAATTAGAACTCGGAAAATGCTAGGAAACATATTAGGGAGGCCAATAGATAAAATTTGAAAGAAAGTGTATGCAAAAATAAAAGTTGCTGCAAATTCCATAAGTCCATTTTCGATATGTGTCCAAATTCATTTATTTAAGTATTTATATTAAACAAAGACTACAAAATCTAAATGCATGTAAATTAAAAAAAGTATCAATAGAATTTAATTTTTTCTGTGAACGTTTCAAGGTAAAATCAAACATTAGAAAAAGAAAAAAAACTTGTTATTTTTTCCTTTCCCACATCACCATTCTGAGTTCCAGACATAGCCTAAATGTAATACGGAGTATAAGCCAAAATTGGGAGCTCAATACTATGGCAGGTGCGCAATGCATGTCTTTGGCAGTTTGGGTGAGAACGGAGTGGGCATCAGAGATCAACAATTTTAAGAAAGGCGTATTAAGGTATTAAGAGTTTATACTGATCATCTAAACTTTAAACAGAGGACTTGAAAAGCTAGTCTTCTAAAGATTATAAAGCTTTAAAGATTTTAATTGTATGCAATAAGACAGTTATGAATCTTATGATGCTGGATAATTGGATGGTCTAAATACATGTACGAAACTTGGGAATCATTTCTTTTTAGTTTCTTACGCCTATCACATGATGATTCACAAATAATGTTCAGTTGAGTGAATTTTAATACAAATAGGTATATATGAAGGAAGGCATGTTTATACCTGGGAAGTATATTTTGATTGTGGATCTGTATATCTGTAAAAATTTCATTTCTAATGTTTGTACAGAGAGATTTCATTCTCTGATAAGCTGTAGAAACAGCCACAACATCCATAGACACTCCTTCAATGTTTCCACTAACATATTCATCTGTCTCTGTTAAGTGCCTTCTTGATCTTTTCTTAGCAGCGGCCTGATGTGCACAATAAACTTCTTGTCAAACGCATTTTGAAATATGAAAATAAGCAAATGTGACAATCTGCTACACAACATGTCTTTTCCAAACCTGGAAGTGGCTGTACAGTTTATTTTGGACCTCTGGGGATAATATGTCATGTAGAAGTGAATACAGTTTAACAGCAGGCTCCAACGCTGGTGGGACCACTCCCGTAGCAGGTGCGAAAATTTCCATTAATCCAGATGGTGCTGACTCGTCCAGCAGCTTGTAATTTTCAAAAACTAATGCAAATACCTGTTCTATTTGATCCTCAATTTCTCCTAAGATGCGATTCTGGAATACCAAAGGAAAAATGAATAATATTTTATCATTACTATAGCAGTAACTCACAAGCGAGGGAGAGAGACAGAGAGATGCGCTATTTATTAATTCAAAACCCTACCTCTTGATGGCTTAGCGTGCACTTAGAATTGCCTTTCATCATTACAGGCAACAAAAGTTCATACACCAATGTTAGACAATCAGCTGTTGGGGTTGCTACATCCATAACATATGAGAGGTACCTGCAATGGCACATCAGTTCATTAATGACTGGTGATTCCTCTCTCTCCATTTTATCCTACTTCTTTGATTTCGAAATTATAAACTTATGACTTTATTTCCCTTCGTAATTAATAATTCAAATGACAAAAATGAGATTATTTACTTTTCGTAACAGTGTAAGAGCCTAACTTAAAACTAAATATATTATTTCTTTACCTTAGCCTGGTGTATGTATCAGAAATCCCATAATATGACGTGAACTCAGAGAGCAACCACTTCCATGGGCCATGCAGCAGTAAATTTCTTTGTTGAAAATGCAGAATCTTCATTGCAACTTCTAGTACCAAGTCATATGCCACAGTTTCTGCAACTGACCCACACTGGAAAACAAGATGCACCCAAAACTTACATCAAGAGGATTCTTCCAAGTACATAACTCATGGCTCTTAAAGAAATTTCATTATAAGTACATTTCACATACAGTTTGAGGAGAAAGAGTTGGTAAAGAGGGAGGAGCATTCACCTTAAGATTGCTGTGTTCATCTATAATTGCTGAATAGTTTATATACAATTGCACTTTTCCAACTACCTCATGTTCTGGTTCATGGTATAGGGACCACCATCGCAATTTATCACCCTGCATTGATAACCAGTCTTAAGTATCAAGAAATAAGTTCAGCAAATGGTAAATGATATCTAAGGGGAAGAAAGGAAAATACTGTTTCCTCAGCAATTGAAGCCAGTTGAGCAAGAACACGGCCATAATGCTGGCCTTTGGAGTTGTAAACTTCAACTATTAGATCATCTGCTAGGCTATCTGGAAAGCTGTGTTTAGTACATTAATTATAAAGCATGCCCTAATTAAATAAAAGAGAATAAGACCGACCAAACAATTTAAAAGATGCTAAAGAATGAAAAATAGCGTACAATATGTGGGTTTCACTAGATCCAGGTTGCATTTTTATTGCATCCTCTTCTCTTGAACTTTTTAGTCTCAGCGAGCAACAGTAAGACTCTGATCAAATAATAAATGATAATATAAGAGGTTTGACAGGTATTTAACTTGAAGAAAATCTGCAAATTGCTATCATACATGATATATGAAGATGACATACCTTGCACAGTTTCATAAGATGATGGACTGCTACGCAAAGATGTCACACCAATTTTCAAGAGTCCAGAAACTTGTTTTATGTACTGAGTACTTGCATGCATGTATGCCAAGCTTTGGCGTGAGAAGGAACCATTTCTAGGAGCATGAGGAGCAAAACGGACCTTGCGAAGTGCTTTCCATCCAGAAGTGATTGATGATCGCAGGTTCAAAAGGTGGTTCCTAAGACACTCCATCTTTATTTGTGGAGCTTTCAAGGATGAAAAACTGCATCCGGTTGGTGGGTCCATAACCATTTTCACTTTCTTAACTGCAAATCAGTGGTTGTTGGGTACATTCTTTTAGGGTATGTTAGGATTCTGGAAAATGCTAATGCTAAGGATAGGCATTCTCATGTGCTTGATTTTAACTCACAAAATGCAAAGGAAAATAAATCATGATTAATTTTTAATAAGACTAAACATATGTTCAGATTTCATAGTCTATATAATACAAGTCAAAAGTAATAAACAAAACGAGTCTGGACTCTGAACAGTTATCATTTTTTTTTAATTTGAACCCATTTTTATTTCCCTTCACATTTTCTCTCCTTCCAAATTTCCTAATATGTTCCTCCCTATTATCTTCCCATAACTTTAAACCAAGTTCCAAATGGACCCTTATTTACTGATGAAAGAAGAAAACCAAATGACAAGCAAGCATTACCTTGGACCTTCATCCTTCCAGTCAATTGCTTGGCTTTTGGAGGAGCGGCCCCATCTGTTACAGTCTCTGTCCGCTCCAAAGACCGTTTTGTCATCAGTTCCTCCTCTGATTGGAGCAGGACTTGCTGCAAACTGTCAATGCATAATTTTTTAGATTGGCATTTTCCGCACACATATTGGATCAAATAGGAAATACTCTTAATGTGAATAATAAGAATCTATAGGTTCATTAGATTGTAGATCTACGAGCTCAAAAGATAAGGAGAATATATTTGAAAAATGGGGGTAGCAGAATCTTAAACAAGTGCACTTCTGCCACCACGGTTTATGTAAAAGTGTGTTTCTTGATGCCAAAAATGCAGTTGTGCTTTAATAAAGGTGCTACGTTTTTTAGTGTGCCAGTGGTTATCATGTTAAGTTTTTTTTTAACTGCACCCTATGTAAATAACCAAAATACCAATCCAAACCCAGTATGTCCTACTCGAAAATAAAGGTCTGGGGAGGGTAAGATATTCCCAGACCTTACCTAGCCCTAGGAGTCAAGTGCTTGTTTCCATGGCGACCCCCAACTAAGAAGAAGTTGGAAGTTTTGGAAAACTTGCACCTTTTGAAAATTGTGAGAATTGGTGCATATTTGTGTGTACATACTACATATTATGGTAAGCTCAAGCCATAAATAAGATATACCATACTGGTTTGTAACAACAACCAGTAGCCAATGTTCAAATGATTAAGGGTGGCATTTATATATCACATAGGAGATTTCCCTATATAAGAGTAAAACTTAGGTGTTTTCTCTAAATAGAAGTACTATTCTTTCCAAATAAGAGTAAAATACTATCATCCCGAATCCATACTGTCACAGTTAGATGATACTGTCATACTAGTAAAGTACTGCCATAATATGATGACAGTGATTTCACAAAGGCAATATTTACTCCTATTTAGGTAAAAAAGAAGTACTTCTGCTTTGGTAAAAACACATATGCGTTACTCCTAATCAGGGTAATTTCTTATACCTGCCATGTATATAACTCTTATTAGATTCAAATACAAGTGATCTCTGTATTTAAGTTAACATTGTCATATCTAACTGTCAAGTGCCCATGTTTAAATATCTCAGCACGCCGGCAGTTGTTTAACTGTTCCATACAACAAAGATAAAACTTCTTAAAAATAAAAAAAATAAACTGACCTAAAAGCGTCCCGAAGCAAAGCACACTCGTTCTCTAGAAACATTGGAGCTTCCATACACCCTCTCGCCCAAGCATGAAGGCATAGCCGCACACAAGCATCATATGCAATAATCCGATGCCACGGTCCAAGTGCACTTTTAAAAATACAGAAAACAAGTATTTTCACATCACATATAACAGGTAATAATAATAGGAAGAAAAACAAGGATGCATTCTAATCTCTTCATTTATGTTACCAGAAAAGAAATTACCTAACATGATATGTTGGAATTCTAGCAGACGGTCTTCCATTTTCCACAGCAACCTTACTTCTTTGAAATATCAAAAGAAGGTCATTTAGACATACTCAAAAGCCTTCTTTCATTTTCTATACATTAAATCATATGGAGTATATGGTAAATGCACATAACGGGAGGAGGTGAACCTGATAGATGATTCAGATGCATTCTTGATATTACTATCATCCTTGACTGAGACACCACCACTGGCATCAACTGAAGAGGCTTTGGAGGCTGGAGGAAGCACCTTTTCATGATCTTCTTTGATTTCCCCAGCAATAGGAGGTGCACTGGGAATGTCTTCTTCATCAAATGAGCCTTTCTTATTCAAACTTCCTATACCAATTTCATTCTGCAGAAAAGTACATACGTCTGTAATTACTGACCAGTAGTAAAATCTTCTCACACATGAAAATTCTAACACAGCTAAAACAAACAAAGTACCTTTAGAATTTCACTTCCTCTATTCGATTTGGAAGGAACACTGGATGAGAATTCAGAACTAGCTATAGAACCAGACTCCTCCTCCTCGGGGTAAGCTCCTCCTCTAACGGCTACATGGCCAATCCCTCTTCCAAATGTCTCCCTTGACGAACTGACATCGTCCGAGAAGCCACTCTCACTGTCGCCGCCATACTGCAGTGGACGCGACCGCGGGTAATTACTACCGCAATTTCTCTGAACACTGGTACTACTCCCCTGCACTCTCTCTTCCTGTGAAGACGGCTCCGGAGAATACCTTCCCTCGGACTCCGTGGACATGTCATCGTCGGAGGCAGTGGTGTTGTCATCGGAATCCCCATGAATAAGGACTCGAGAAACCGCCGGAATCATCCCCAGCTTCGGAGGAGGAAGTCCGGCATTTCTGCCGAGACTACTCAGACTACCAAATCTGCCTCTTTGGCTTGATATTGGAGTGTATTGAACTTCGCTCTTGCGATTACCGCACCCCTGCAATGAAATTCAATTTGAAAATTTTGAAATTCGTGCCTTTTCTTTCGGGGTTAAACTGTTAAACCCATATTTAGACTAAAACGGGAAGTTGAATTAGAGAAAGGGAGAAGAAGATTACCTCTTGAACCCATTTGAGGGCATTGCTGTCCAGTCCCTCTGTAAACATCATCTCCTCTCTGGAAAAAGAACCCAAGAACGTCAAGAATTTGAAAATACAGATCCAAAACATGAAGAAGATGTGAACATTACCAGATTTCTTAAGCAAGAAAGCGTGGGTTCATAGAAAAAGGCGCACTTTAACCGCTCACTACACCGGAAAACTTCAGCCACACTCTTTTTTAGCTCTCTCTTTCTAAAGGACTCTACTTCTGAGCAGGATAATCAATCCGCCATAGGATATGGAAGAGAAATAACTACAGTAAATATTCCCTTTTGGGGATAATTAATCTGAAGATGTCGGTTTAAGGTTGGGATTTAGCTATTTAAGGTTGCTAAGTTAGTTCTTAGCTGGGAAATTAGAGAAAATGAATGCTTAAAATTTGCAAATCTCGAGCGAAGAATTGAATAGCACGTAAAAATGGTGGTGGGATACGTGGCCGAAGACAACGGACGTGGTACCGAGGCTGTTGGTGGTTGTTTGTGATGACTCAACAGATAGAAAAAAAAAATCGAACGTTGGAGTGGGTCCCTTTTCTCGCTCTGCTTTGGGTGTGAGTCACGTGCTGCTTCGGGGCCCACTGCTCATTTGTTTTTTAACGGAGTGATTTTTAAATTATGGCCAATATGGTCTTTTCCCCCTCTCTAATTTTTGAAAACCATATGTTGCTTGCTCATGAAGACTACTCCTCCCCGCACTTACCGAAAAATCGGCATATGCACTTATCGTATCGAAAAATACTGAAAAATATCGAAATATTGGTATAACTTCATTTTTGGTACGGTATGATTTATTTCGGTACGGTTACGGTAAATGTTTTCAAATACCGCGATATACCGGTATAATACCGTACCGGATCCCTACCGAAAAATTACTTTTAATTCTAGGAAAAATTGAAAATAATAATCTCAACTATTGCTGGTCCGCTGATAATAATCTCAACTATTGATTATTTTTGTATAATACCAACTATATGAACCATCCGCCAATAATGGTCCATGACCATATATTACCTCCTATAAAAAGTGAATTTTAAATAGAAATTAAGCGTAAAATTAAAAGTTGGGATTATTTATAGGGATTACTTGTTATATCTCTTCTCATCCACTTTAGAAACTATGAGAATTTATTTATAGGAACCATTATTGGCGGAAGGTCCCTAAAGTTGGGATTATTCTGAAATAATCGATAGTTGGGATTATTATGGGCGGACCATCAATAGTTGGGATTATTACTATCAATTTTTCCTTAATTCTAAAATATTGTAAAAATACCTTACAATTTTGAAGCTCAAAAGTGTAAGGTACCAAAACACAAAAATAAAGGCTCAATTTTCCTAACTCACTATAAAGTTCTAGGCTTCTACTACGTAACATTCAAATAAACAAACTAACTCTAATGACTAATGAGTAACACACTACTATATTGTCCACAAACAAGTTCATCTTGTTCCAAAAGCTTGCGAGTAGCGATGGTTGAGCCGCTATATAGCTGACGAGTGAAAAGGGATACACTTACGCGATGAGTGTATCTACATAGAGATTCCACGAGTCGAGACACACAACTTTGTCTGAAAGTCTTATTCAAATATTATTTTTAAATTATAATAATGACTAAATACGCAATATTATATTAGGAATAAATAATTTTATATTCATTTTGTTTGACTAATTTTATTTATTTTTGTTTGAGATCACTATTGATTTAATTATATCTATATTGTTCAAGTTATTTTAGGAGAATGTGTTATTTTTTAGTATGTGGTATGTTGAACTGCTTAAATATTCTAATAATAATTATTGTTCAATATTGAATATGACATCAATAAATTATTAATTGTATTTTGTAACATATTAATAATGGAATAAATATGTCTCTACTAACACCGATTTAATGTATTTTGTTAGTCTATGATAATTTGTTGTATTGGGAGACATGCATGGTAATTTACCGATACCGTACCGTTACCGAACCGAAACTTCGGTATACCGAAACTTAGGTAAGGTAACGGTATATAAATTTTGCATACCGAAAGATTTGGTACGGTAAAGGTATACGAGAAAATATTCGGTATACCGAACCACCCCTACTCCACCCAGGGGCGTAGCTAGGGGAGGGCCAAACTTGACCCTAACCTAGCCTTAGTTTCAAAAATGTCTATATTTTCGGTGTAAAAAATTTCATGCAAATTATTTTTCAAAATTCTTTTTTGCAATGGCCCAGTCTGACGCAGTACCCTGCTCCGCCCCTGACTCTACCCCTACGCCTGAGTGTGTTTGGAGCTAACCTCAAAGGCCCAAATTGTCATAGATTTTAGTAGTATGATACTCCATGTCGATTTAATTTTGTGTGGTTAATCTCTATTCGGATTTTTTGCAAATTTTATTACTCCGTTGGACTAGAAGATTTTTCTAAATAAAAAATAACTTCATTGATGATAATCATAACACTACATTCAGGTATTCCAACCAATTGAACCTAATACAATCGCCCAGTCAGCCCACGGCGGATACATGAATTCTTGATTGAAGAGGGATAAATGTAAAAAAGTATATATAAATTAATAAAGGGAAAAGTACAGTAAAGGCACTTGTAATTTGAGCCGTTTTCAGATAGGGGCATGTGTTTCATTTTTTAACAAAGTGGGACATGTATTTCAATTCTGCTATCACAATAGGGGCATGACGTCTAACGCCGTTAAAAAATCTAACACCGATTTTCAAAAGTCTCTGAAACATTAAAAGAAAAATACTGGGAGGTGCGCCCCGTCAAGGAGACCACTAAACTATCTTTCTTTCTTTTTTGTTTCTAGCCACCATGTCGCTGAAAAATCCGTCAGAGAAGTGATATTAACAGATTCATTTTTAAAAAACAATATAAATAGAGCCAAAAAATTCAAAAAGAACGATGGTTTTTTGGTCTTCTTGACGAGACGCACCTCTCAGTATTTTTCTTTTAATGTTTCAGAGACTTTTGAAAATCGGGGTTAAATTTTCTAACGGCGTTAGACGTCATCCCCCTGTTATGATAGCGGAACTGAAGCACATGTCCCACTTTGTTAAAAAATGAAACATGTGCCCCTATTTGAAAACGGCTCAAACCACAGGTACCTTTTCCGTACTTTTCCCATTAATAAATATATTTCATCCGTTTTTTTAGTTGCAACAGTCAACCTTTGCACATTTGTGTTGCTAATTCCGTAAATGGTAAGTGTTGTCTCCCAAAATTATTATTTTATTACACTACTGCTCATGTTTTTCAAGTTGTGTCTTCACAAACAAAATTTTCTGTTGGACTTCTCTCCATCCAATCATCGCACTACAAGAAAATGATGGTGTTGGTCCCGTTTAAGTAGGGAACAGTCTAGAGGGGGGTGAATAGACTGTTCTGATTTTTCAAACTTTCTTCTAAGTCAGAGATGACTTATCAGAGATGGTCTGAATCTGGTGACATAGAGGGTCGAGTTCTGATATTAGAACTGGACTTGGCAGCGGATAAGACATCTGTTCGGGTAGCCTCAGGGAAACACTAAGGCAAGTGCCTTTCTGATAACTCTGAGAACAAGATCTGCTGAACACAGAGTCCAAGTTCTTGGGAGTTATACGGTCAAAGTCTTAAGTGCAGAAAGTAAATGCGTAAAGTAAATGACACCGGGGGTTTTTATAGTGGTTCAAGGAACAACGCGTTCCTCTAGTCCACTGTCCCACTAAGCTTGTAAGTTAACAGTTACAACGCCTTAGTCCCTAGAACTTAAGAAGCATTCCACGTCTTCTTCAAGTCTAGTTGTCACCCGGGATGCTCTTCCTGGCTTCCTGATGACTGGTCTCGTTTCACTGAGTCCCTAGAAGTATCCCCACTTCACTACTCCAGCTAGTTTGAGACGTCCTTCTTTGCAACTTGCTTCGTTACAATAGATTTGTAATGAGGTGCTTGAAGTTGTTGAAGAACAGAGGTAGAACTTTGCTCTTGTGGGAGGAGAGGAATATGTGATTTTATAATCTCTCCAACGTAGGCTTCTCTTGTTGATGAAGATGGAATTTGAATCTCAAGAAAGCTTTTTGTGAATGTTGAAGTTAGAGCAAAAGTTGTAGCAAAGTTATCCGGTTGTTCTTCGAGTAGTATCTTTTATACTAGGGTTGTCTTCCCGTTGGAAGAGGAGACAACTGCATTAACTGCGCGTACTGTGGAGTTGACCGGTTGGACTCACAAATTTGGTAGCTTGCTATTTTTGTATAATATTCTCCAGGAATCACGGTCAATCATCTTCAATTTCTCCACAGCGTATCAGGCTCATTAAATGAGCATTAAATGCTTTCCTTTTACTTCACATGGAAAGTCTTCTATCCGTTAGGGTATTTCCCGTTAGTTCCACGGCCGTTGAGAGTAGCACTGAAATCTTCTAAGTAGCAGCAAGTCTGATGAGGTTCTCTCATAGTACTCTGATGACTAGCTCTGATGGCAGCTCTGGAATCGAACTCTGATGCTTCTCTGAGGAGCAGCTCTGGTAGCAACTCTGATGAGTAGCTCTGGAGTCGAACACAGGTGCTTCTCTGAAGAACAACACTGGTAGCAACTCTGATGCTTCTCTGAGGAGAAGCTCTGATGAGAAAGTCAAGAGGGTCTCTGACCAGTCGACTATGCTAATACTTACAAAGAAAATTCTAATACAAGATTTCTAAATGGGGTAGTCTAAATTACTAAATAGCCTAGCATCATCAAAATCTAAGTACATTTATTCCTTACAATTTCCCCCTTTTTGATGATGCCAAAACCCTTAAACTATTTCCAGAGAAGTGCCTTTCACCATAAAAGAAATTAAGTAAAAACTTACATTTTAAATCTTGGTGGGCAACTTAGCATAGGAAAATAGTAAGAGTAAGATACAATCAAGATAGCGGAAAAAGAAATAACAGAAAGTCAATCACAGAAGGCAGTAAAAGACAAGGTATTTGAAATTGCCATGCAAAATAGAGGTAGAGAGGTTATCTTATATATCAGAAAGTATTTAAAGATACAGGGGATAGAAGAATTAATAGTCTTCTTCTTCTACCTGTCTTTCAGCTTCATCACTTTTTCTGAGTTCTTCATTAACTCTGGCTCTGATGGTAGCTAGGTTCCTGGGATTCTGATACTCTGATCAGTGTGGTTCAAGTTTGCAGTCCAGATAATTTCTTATGGCTTCTGAAATGTTCTTTCCCGGAACCACTCTCATACGCCACCAATTTTCTGCTTCTTGGACGGAACCTCCATGGTTTATTTTACCAGTCCATCATTGTCTAGAGTGAGATTTTCTTGCTGCAGGGGAGTCATCAGTTTTCTCATTTGCTCAAACTGAACTCTGTCAGATCTTGACATCCCGCTGTTCAGCCAATTGGTAATGGAGAAGGTGGAAGCTTTCTTCTTTGACTGTCTAGGTGGCGGTGGAGGAGGTTT